AGCAGGAAATGTATGACAAATACTGGCTTACGATGCTCCTACATACACACAAATAACCTTTCTTGTGAAGAGTATTTCTCTTCTCTGTTCGAAAAAATACTTTCCTGAACTGAACTAATTCTGGCTGCATTAATATTTTCTTAAGATATCGTTGAATAAAAGATTGAATTTGGCAGGGTCGAATGTAAGACTAGGCTCATCTGCTGCAGAAAATTTCGTGCAAGGACCATCTGGCATAAAAGTCACTTATCTGGAGAATCCCAGTGTTAAATCGTTTGTTAAATACTTAAAAATAATTCAAGCTGCTTCCTCCTGAGTGTATCAAGGGGGACACAAACGAATGCATGTTTCTAGGGAGAAGGGAGGCTTGCAGTAGCTGAAAAACATGTGTCTTCCCCTCACTGGGAAGCCAGGTGCCTCAACCAAGGCAATATACCTCATGTAAGTGTCTGAGCTCCAGTACCAGCTTTTAAAAGATTCTGCCCCCAAACAGCTCACCCTTACAAGCTGTCATCATGCACACCTCTGAACAAGAGACATCTACTGATAACTGATACTATTTATAGAAGTTGTCCTCTTCTACAAGGAATCACATTACAGTCCAAGTCCCTCTTTGGTTTAGCAAGACAGAATAAAATACATACCATTCCAATAAAAAAGTATTATTGTACTATTGGCAAAAACACTTCTAACAAGCAACAGACTTCAGAAAGAACAGAAAGCAAAGAACATGTGGCCCATGGAATTGAGGAGACAAGGACAGTTTGTGCCACATTCTTTCTTCCTAAATTCAGAGCTCGGCTCCTACAAAAAACACTACAGTACAAACAGTAAGACACTACTACACAGATCAAAGCTTCATATTAACTCCCCAGGTGAAGCCCAGCTTACTCATAGATGCAAAGAGTTACACTGCACTTAGCTTTGAGCTTGCTTTCTTAAGGAAGCTCAGACAGCAGTTACCAAGTCACACCTGCATAAACCTATTGCCATCCAGTAACTTCTGGACCCACCAACCAACTCACATCCCCGCATGTTTTGGAGAAAAATAAGCAGCTCGGTGGTGTTCACTGAGGCAAAATAAGAAGCAGCGACCCACACACCTATTCTGGGAGCAGCCAGCTGGGCAGACAAGTTAATTCATGCCTGCTAAACTAGTCATTTCATTCCCTTGGGCAGTGGAAATTGCAGGAGGAACACGTAACAAGATTAATACTGCGAGAGAAATGGAGAGACAAAATCCCACAAAACTACTGAAAGTCAAGCGTTATTGACCCTGATGCACACCGAACAAGTTTTTAATATCAAACCTAATCTTCTTACTGGGGTAATGACTAAATGATTATATACTGAATTAAGTATTGCCAAAACACTAGGCCTCCCCGTCAGGCCTACTCAGTTTTAGCTACCTCATCCCTACTCATATGCTTAAAGAAACTGATTCAGTCAAGATCTTTGCCTTGACAGAGAACACTACAGTGAGCAAAACAGCAGCTGTGCCATTTCAGGGAACACTGCAACAGAAGTAAGGCCCAACAGAGTGAAAACAGCACTGCCTGACTAATCTAGGTCATCAGGATCAGAAGACTTTTGCAGAGACGACAGTGCTTTTAAGGCCTTCCCCCTGCCTCAGACAGGCTCATTTTTGCTCTTAATAATGCTGAACTGAAACACTGCCTGATCAGCACACAGTAGGGCAGAGCTACAACCAGCAGTAACAACCACACAAAAAAAAAAAATCCAGAAGGAATAAAGGTATGAAGCCAGACGCCGAGGCCAGTTACCCAGAGCAGCTCTGCAGGGCACACACAACCCATGGCCCCGCAGAGAAGCGGCACAGCTGAAGCTACACTGACAGCAGCGTCTTCCCAGGCAAAAGAGGAGCAGTTTTCCTGGCTGTGACACAGTCTGCACTAGCACAAACTCTGCTACCTCTGGCTCCCCTGCTACCTCACCCTCACAGTTTGTTTCTCTTCCAGAGCCACAAAGGGTGTTTATGCCAACACAACTCAGAGACCAGAGCAGGCAGATGTCTCCTATAAGAACTACCCTGTAGCCTTTAAGTGATGATTAGATGCGTTTTTAAATGCAGAAAGAAAATCTTTGAAGTCATCAGGGGAAAGAAAAAAGAACCTCAAAACAAAACAAAAAAAAATTATTTGTTTGGGCACTTTAAAGGAAGGGATGGGAGTTAGTTACCCACAGTAAATCTGACCTAATCAAGATTACATGCTCATGTAAATCATTTTATCTAAAAGACCATTAGCTGAAATGCTCTGTACAGACACACAAAACCAAGAGCAAGTATACAGGGATTCTTCATGCACTACAAACACCAGCCAGTTATCAGAAAGCCTGTTTATGCACTTGAAAATGCAGTATATATTAACTCAAGCATTTAAATTAAAACCTATAGTTACACTGTCGCTTAGTGTTTGACAATAATTAAAAATGTTAACGTTAACTATATTCAGCTAGTAATTAAAGCCTAACTGGCTAATCCATTAATTTAAAATGTTAATTAAAGTAAAATGAACACTGACAGTACTTTGTTACAGGATATTATCAGTCTTCTAGTCGCTTATTTACATGCGTATCAGCCTGGAAGCTTAGCTCATACAAATTTACCAATTCTAGCATCATGTCACAGAATTTGTACAAGAGACTAAGGAGTTGAGCATCATCTCTCCAATTAAATACCACACTGCAATAGGGGAAACAAAGTCCATATATTTTGACAGCACAAAAAATAGGACCTTGAATCAATATGAGGTTTTGTTAGACCACTAAGTTGTGTGTGTGAACTGTTTAAATACATGTAGGTTCATTTAACCTAAGCATGGTACAATATTTTTTGGTATGGAAAATTCAGGTTTCCACAATCCCACTGGCATTTTTAAGACAAACGTCCACAGATTCACAATCCACCTGACCGTGTC